ATACTCGTGTCTGGAATACCTGCTACGATATTAATCTACCATCGTAAAGGAGTTATTAGTCAGTTGCAACGCAGGCATACGCTGGTGCTCGCAGGTTTAATCCTTGCCTATCTGTTCCAAAAGGTAGCAATAAAGGTGATCTCGTATGGCCCGTAGCCGTTACAGCGTTAGCACATCGCTCTAAATTGACCAATACACCGTAAAATCCTCGTGAGCTAAACATAATTCCAGACTGTAACTCGATGAAACAAGATTGGTATCCAAAATACATCTGCGATATTAAAAGCAACCTTACCGAAACCTATCGACAAAGTAGCAATACAATTTCGCTCTGAAAAATTCTTACCCCATGCTCTTGTTACGGGACAATTACAGTGATACAAGGAGAACGACGTTCGGTCAAATCTCGAATAGAAACTAACACGGATAACTACGTATAGTTATGGGAGGTCTAATATAACATCGTGGAATTGTACTATGCAGAATGCTCTTCATTCGTATCCTGGCGCGGATATACATATGTGGGACAATATATTAGGGAAGGGGTATGTTTTGAGGAAATACTGGTTGACTCAGGATTGGCTAACGATGGACTTTGGTTTGTTTCGGATGACTTGTCTCAGGTTTGGGATTTGTATATAACGATGTAATAGGAAAAGGTTTGAAGAGATGACAAGAGGCACCCGTTGACTCAGGTTGACTCCCGAGTCATTAGTGCATTTCGGATGTTAACTATGGATGACAAGGTCGGCTTCACACGTGGAAACAGACCACATATACTCGGAGGACTCTTCTTCTCCGTTGTGACGGGACTTCTCCGTACACTGGTAAAATAAAAGACGTTGACTCTACTGTCGTCTTGATGCGGATTCGTTTCACCAAGAATAAACTGTTCTTGCGAAATTATTCCGAAGTACTCTTGAAAAACCTGAGGTACAAGGACTATGTATATTCCTTAACGCGTTGACTGCCATGGTGGTCATCAGTGACAGGCGCTTGCCTCCTCAGTGGGCCATGGTGGTCACTAGTGTTCGGCGATACTAATTTTTTAAACTTATATTTGTTTCATTCTAACCAATTTTTGAATGTATGAACAAGGTAGATAAATAGAGAACTTTGAATAGAAAACATTAATAATTGGCACCATTTTTCTTCTTTTTCTTAGACATATTTGACTATGAACGATAAGGTCGGCTGCACAGTCTACACGCTGCCACTACCCGCTAGAATTTGCTACTTCGATTGCCCAAAAGAAGCTAGTCAAACTTCTCAAATAAATAGGAAGAAATTTTCGCACGCTGTTCCACTTGAAAAAATTGGAAAATATAACCTGCATTATGAACCTACGGAAATCTGAAATGCAAATATACGTGGAGGAACAGTGGAGTTGCCTGAAGCTGCAAACGAAGAGAAATATCCGCGTTACGACGATGGGTCGAGGAAGTGTACTTCCTCTTTCGCCTCAAATATCGTGGCAGGAATGGAAAAATAGAGGAGTAGAATGGAATTGCCGGGTGTGCGATTGACGTGGCATCCTCTTGCCGAAAAGCACTCCATCGTGGCCGCGGTGGCCGGCGTATTTTCCGTCGACTATGCACGAAGATTCGTTGGCTCGTACAACGAATCGACCGATCGAAAAATTTGCTTGCCGCACCCGTGGCATCGATACACTGCGCTAGAACGTGATCCGATTAAACTTATTTCTACCGTGCCGATTTTAATCTGTTGTTCGAAATAATTCCGTTTCATCGAGTGAACTCGACCATCCCATCCGGATCGAGATAGATACGATAAGGAGAAACGAAATTCGGTTTGCGACATCGAGCCAATATTTTCGACCGTTTCGCGGATTAAACGTTTTCTCGTAAATTTTTATTTATTTTTTTTTTCATTTTTTTCGTTCAAATGATATTTTCAAATCGGTCATTGGAAAATTTTAGACGATTGTTGAAGAGGTTGGTAGTTATTTATGACTTCTTAACTGGGACTGGTAGACGACACTATACATACGTCATTTGCGTATTAAAATTTAATGGAAATTTAATAAATACTGCCGAATTTTTGCGACACTAGATGGCGTTGCTTTGTTCTTCGCTAGGAAGCGTTGTCGTAATTACGAATTTCGGTATTTCGTTCGAAAAATGTATTTCTTGTAAAATTTTCGGCCCAGTCTTATACAAGACACTAATTAAATTTGGTCACCGTGGTATATCTATTTATGAACGAATAGAATCATGGCACTTTCCTAGAATTAATTAGAATTCCAGTTCTAAACCCAGCCAAATAATTATTTCGGAGCTATTATCGATATCTGTGGTTAATAAATTACGTTTACGCTGTTGACACGAATCTAGTGAACTGTGATATTTACCAATAGTTCCAGGAACATCGTAAAACCCATTAATTAGTATTTCTATGTAACCTAGTATCAAAACGTTAAAAGAAAATGAACGATTCGTAAGTGTTCACGAAAAATAAAATTCCTCGATATTTTCTAATTCACTTAACTCGATACTCGTCTAACGAGATGCAACAAGAGATCGAAAGCGAGTCGTTAATTGCACGGAAGAAATTATTGGAATAAGCGAAAACAAACGGGATTACGGTTTAGTACGTTCGTGACCGTATCGCAAACACGCGATCGCAGTCGTTAAACGATAAATGGCCGGGCAAGAAGCGTGAACGATAAAACTAGACGCGACCATAATCGCGCATTAGCAAAGACGAATGCGTTAACCATAAAATTTCACTTGACGTTTCGCGTGCAAACAGGCACTTCGATTATCGTGTAAATTTATTCACACCGTGGCGTGTACGCTTTGTTCGGCGTTCAAGTTCAGAGGCGATAGCGGAATGAATTCTGTTATCTAAACGAGATTTCGACCCCTCAAAATCGCGATCAGGATGGATAAGGGTCGTTTACGTAACGAGCGCTTCCGTGATATTTAGCAGACGGCTAAATTGTATCTTTGAAGAAACGAACACGGACTAACTGCGGTGTCGCGCGAAAAAAGCTCGTCCACGGAACGCTGCAAGTCCGTTTTCTGTTGCTAAATGTTGCTCGGGTGAAATAATTATAGCGCTCGAGAGATAGAACGCACCTCGAGACAAATAATTACGTTGGAAGAATAGCCGCGTATGCTTTTCGGCAGAGGCGAAATTCGAGATACGACGGCAGAAATTAAATGGTCTAAGTCTAATTATCGTAAGCCAGAGCAGGCTCTTTCAGCGAGGACCACATGGCTGACGTGAATTTTTGGCAGCACGCGAAACGTGGAAAATACGAGCTTCACGAATGAACCACCTTTATTTTGTGTGATTAATTTTATTTCATAGATGCGGATAATTAACTATATAGCGACGCGAATATCCCGAAACACTGAGATTTTACGAAAAACGAAAAAGGTTTCATACAGAAATTGTACTTTTCTGTGTGTAGAATAAGATCCCGAAAGAAAGAAAAAAAAATAAAACGAACTGATCTTGAAATGACCTTGAAATGACCGTTCATTAAAGAACTAATGGAAAACTAATAATGCTATTTGAACCCTGTCAAAAATTATTAATTAGTCGTCTACGAGATATTTCGCTGCGTGAATTGAAATATATATAAAATATTAGCGATTCGAACAATTCGGAGGTACGAAGAAAATAGGAAAAATCCTGATTTACGACCTACGCGTTTCGAGGTAGAAAAATTTTATAATTTAGTTAAGTCTTTTCCTGTGATGTATAAAATCGTGTAATTCTCCAGGAAAATCGAGTTAAATCGGGTAGCGAGTGGAATTTTAATTAAAATAAATAAACCGCAAGATCGATCAGTTACATTAAACATTTATTACTCATAATTCATCACCGTGACAGCGAAGTGTATACATTAACCCAGAGTTCGCGAGCAAACTTTGCATAAAACCCTTATAATTATAGAGCTCCGAGGTTTTGCAAACGAAGAGGGAAATTATTACGCAGGGAAATTTCGAATATTGCATTTCCAATGAAATTTCCCGTATTATGATTAATTCCGCGAGAAACTCCTACAATAATGCACCGGTATCTTAATGCAGCCTATTGTCTATTCAGGTTCCTTATCTTTTGCTTATCATCAACTCAGCCTTCACGAATACTTCGTCTCTATCTATTCGCGATGCCTCCTTTCCTAGCTGATCGCTCAAGACCAACTCCAACAAGATCAATCACCCCAAGGCACATAAAAGTCTCAATCTTACCCACCGTGAAGTTCATGTAACGCGAGTGCAATGACTCAAAGAAATTGATAAAATTATTGTAAATATTCCAACAAAATTTCTCCTATACTTACATATATCCCATTACCACCATAAACCCCATTGTATATTCAAAACAATTCTCTCGTACCCATCATCTGCTCATAACCACACTCATGATTGCTTTCTGTATTTTTAACCGATTCGCAATTTTCACTTGTCTATTTAACCCCTTCCAGTATAATGACGAGTCTGACTCGTGATGAAGATTTTGATCCAACCGTGAATACCACGAGCCAGACTCGTGAACAGAACATTTTTCTAAATATAATTTAAAAACCGTCGTCTATTATAAAATATAATTTATTTATAATATTTATAAAAGGAAAAAGTTTGGGTCCGGATTTCGTCGAGCTGAATGCTACGGGAAGGGGTTAACTCTCGTGCCCTAAGATCTAAGTTCCAATGGCGCGTGCTATAATCAACAACAGGGTCGGTCAAGCGTCGAGCCATTTCGCGCGACCGCAGTCAAGAATAACACGAAACTGAGACAGGAAAATAAAATGAACCACGAGCCTGTCCGAGTCTGACGATGTTTACATTTAGCTCTATCTATAAATCACACCTCCCAACCATAATACTCATGTTCGGACCGAGTCCTTACCGCGAAACTCACGCGATATTGTAGGGGTGTATCGTAAAAACTTGTAAACCCACCATCGAGTTATCGAGATGAATCGGTTAAATAAAAAGTATAGAAACGTGGGATGGACTCACCGTGAGGAGGCTTGGGCACGTAGAGGTTCAAGTATAGGCAGTCTTCGCTCTGGTTGGCCAGGAACGGCGCTAGCCTCTCGAGGTAAGCGCGTTTGGACCTGGGCAGACTGGAGTCCGGTTCCGGTGGCTTCTGGGGACACGCGGGTGGCATGGTGTCCGCCAGCTTGGTACCGCGCCACGGTGTCGGCGTAACTGGTGGCATGTATCGCAACGCTCCAACTGGCGGCGTGGCGTATGGCACCCCGTAATAAGTCTCAACGGACGACGACGATCGGTCCTCGACGCCGCGTAGAGTGCCGTACCTGGTCCTGACCGTTCTCGTGCTGTACTTCTGGCTACCGGCGAGTGCCTCCGCCCCACCGGAGCACCAATGTCCGCACAACAGCCCGAGGAACACGACGATCGTAGCCAAACACTTTTTCGACCTGTCTGCCCTGTTCTCGTGACGCGTCTGTACGATTCCTTCCCTCCACTCGCCTCTTTTTCCAACCACGTCGTTCTTCCTCGCGTTCCCGTCGCCATTGCGAACATCCCACGACCCCGTCTCGTTCGCCACGACCTGGTCGTCCGACGAACGAACCTCGAACCGGGCAGGCGCCCGACGCTTCTCGCAATCGGCTGCGGCTTCCGGCCAAAGGCACCGCTGGTACACCGGAGCACGGTGGAAGACAGCGTCGACGCACTCATCGTGAGCATCGTGCAAGACAAACGACAGGCCGGAACTATTGTCCAAGGGAGGCAGCCTTTCGATAGGGTCGAGAGGCGAGAGGTCTTTCCTCTTCCTCTTCCTCGCAGACGAGGAGGAGGACGTCCGCATCGCGTCACGCCGCCGCGGACTGGCCCCTCCGGGCCCCGCATCTGTGGGGCCCTCCTGCCAAGGGACGTCCCTCTTCTTCTCTTCCCTCTCGCACTACGACTGTAAACCCTTTGATCTCGTCTTCTCTGTCCTTCTTATCTTTCCTTCTCGCTATATTCCTTATCACCTTCGCCTCCTTCTCGTGACACCCTTGCCTTTTCGCGCTCTCTATCCCTGCTCCAGCCTCGGCCACCTTTTCCTTCTCGCGACGGAAACCCTCTCGCGTCTTCTCCTCGTTATCTCTCGCTCCTCTCTCCTTCGATCTCCAAAATTCCTCTCCACTGTACCTACTCTTAGTCTCTCCACGCTCTTTATCCACACCCGACTCCCAGTACGACCCACTACCGTTCACCCTCGGTTGCCTCGTCTCGTTCGTCCAACGATTCACCGTGAACTCACGAAAGATCGGTGCTAGCGCGCTGATCGACTGCAAGGCTCTCAGTTCCATCCTCGAGGACGTGCTTGGCCGGCAACGAGCTTCCGCGTCACCCGGAAGTCGTCGTTCCACGATAGTGTCGCGCTAGTCGCCGTCGTCGTCGTCGTCGTCGTTCGTCCAGTGAACGACGAGCTCGAGTCGACGTCGGTGAATGATTTTGAGGGAAGCATCGGCGGCGTGGCTACGATTATACCTATTGCCACCCCTGAGAACACGAGCAGCTTCCGGGGATCTAGCGACCGCTATTCCTCACCATCCTTTGTACAGCTTCCACGAGGAAAAGTTTCGAAAGTTTTACGACGATACGGAACGGGATATCGGGGACGATTTGGCAGTTCTCGGAGTATTTCGCTTGGCTTCTTTACTACGGTATATCGTAACTCTATTAATCAATTCCTTGATTCTCCTCGTACGCTAGTAGTTTCTTATAATGGCGCCCTCTCGCGTAGACAGTTCGCTCGCGACTCTGCAACAGAAATAGAGAAAACGGTCAGAAGTCTGTCAAAATCTAAAGCATATCGCGTTTATCGAGTTACGAAGAAATATCATTAGAGAAATTAATAAACGAGAAGAGACGCAGATTTTGGATCTACCCAATAGCAACTTGCTGTCAATTTTTCAAACGATGAACTGCGTTCGTCATGTCAAACGTCAACTATTATCCATCACATTCTCACAGTTACTACGAACGAAATTAAAATAAATTTTCACCTAAACACTGGCATAATAGCCAGCCCACACTGTGCACTGTCAAGAACCTGCATTTTCGTACCGGATTTCTTTCATTCAAGAGCCCAGGATAAACCTTTTAATATTAAGTCGGAAGTCGAGAGGAAAAATAAGCATAATGTGACAATTCTCTTAGGAAAATTTCGACCTTCTCTGTTCTTCGCGGAACGCTACCCCAGCTTTAATACGCCGCGTTTAAAGCACTCGAACGATAATACGCGAATGCACGACGGAAATGCAAGGACACCTAAGCACGTTAGACCCGAACTGCAATTTCACTGCGTGGAAACGAAGTGCGACTCCGTCAGGGACCAGTGAAATAATAACGTTACAATCTGGCGCCGAAAACCAACGGGGATGCTTTTGTTTCGAGTTTCTGCAGACGCTTAACGGGCTTTTTCAGTCCCTCGGGAATTACGTCGGACAACTCAATTTGTAACACGGCCGGTTTCGAGTCGCCGCAAATGACACGAAAACCCAATAATACTGGTTCTGCGGCAGTGCTAGAATTTCCAATTTCGAAGTTGCACGGCCGCTTTAAACGCGATCCTTTGCCTCGTCCCGTGTAACGTCCTTCGTCTCTCCAGTTTCGCATCGACGACTCTCTTCGACATAGGAAATCGAAGCCAATTACAATGCCCGTGCGTATATGTACGTACACGGGTTGGTAGGTAAACAAATTTCTATCGACGTGCAAAATTCGACGAAGTAGCAGCACTTTGATTCTAACGATCCGGTCAGGGAAGATTCCACGTCAAACGTCGAGCTGTCTCGTCCATTCCAGGGATGCTTAAAACGTGGATTGAAAAATGAAGGGATTTAAAAGTCAGTTGGATAAAATTAGAGAAAAATTAATTGGAACTGGAGACCCAGAGATTTCGATAATTCTTGTATTAATCATTTCTTAAATATGTTCTAGATCTACTTCCAATGATTAACCCTTTGACTACGGCAGACTTTGAAACGCACCAGCCATATCATCACACGATAGGAATCCATTTGTGATGTACAGTAAGAAACTTTTCGTTAGGTGTGCATTTCTCATCAATTATTGCATATTCAAGTAATAATTAAAACACTGTATTCCACATATGAAAACGACATTATTTATTTATTCCTATTTTGTAGTAAATTGTTACTGTACATACTTAGAATTTTACATCCAAAGAAACTATTGAGCACCTTTAAGCGCCCACAGTAATCGAAGGGTTAATTACATTTTGATCAAATTCGGATGTTTCTAGAGGAATTACAGGAAGAGAATTAATTTAATATACTTTCTCAAGTATGATACTAATCGTAAACAATTCTTTATCCTAAGAAATCCTAACAACCGTAAACTTTGCATTTGCAGTAATAAAATGCTACAAGAAAAATTGTCTAATTGCAAGATACATAATCTGATTTACGTATCAGAAGATCCAGCAGAATAGATAAATAACAACTAAGTATCAACAAACGAGGACAACAGATATTTAACCCTTCGCAGGCGAGAAACGAAGATAACGATACATGGAATATATAATACTAATAATAATAATAATACTTTATAAATGGATAGAAATCCTTTGGTATACAATAAAAGTAGTAAAATGAAATATACAGTAGTAACGTAGTAGTATAATAGTACAGAAATTAATGGAATAAGAAATAATTAAAGAAAAGGAGAAAAAACAGACAAAAGAAAAACTTAATAAATAAATGGTTGAGCATAATAAACAATTAAAAATAAAAAATCGAGGTGAAGTTTCTAAATTAAAGAATATCAACACTACTGATGAAAACGCTAAAATTGTGTGTTCCTATAATCCAAACAGCTTTCACTATAAAAAATTTTGAAAAATTCCGGGCATATTGGAGAACTCGTCGTCAAAGTGTTAAAAATCACACTGTTATCGACGATATGCATAAATCTCTGCAAAAACAATATTCGAAACAGCGTACAGTGAAAACTCGTAACAACGAACTATCCAAGATCAAACAGAAAGTGCAGACAGGACCCACGATTCACCGCTCGCGAGATTACATCGAAGCTTGTAATTCAGAATTTAAACGTCACGATACGTCTTCATAAAGAAGGATCTGCAGCACGGTAAAACGTGAGTATCTCTGCACAGCAAACTTCGGAAGACATTGCAACGCATAGACACTGCTGGGACAAAACTAGGCGCCGCGGAATCCTGTAACGAGATAGAACTAACGCTGACACATTTTCATCTTCTTAACTGTTCTACACGGTCCTCGGCAGTCGATAAAATTGACGGTAGCAACACAGTTACAGCTCAAAGCAAATGCAATAATACGAACAAAAATTCGTAATAAAATTTTTAAAACCCAAAAGCTTCCTTGAAATACACATAGGCTAACTTTTCCCTCGTGTTACTCGAATAATAAACTAAAAATATTCATTACTCGACGAAGATTAACGAAGATTTGCAGTGTATCAACATGGATCCACAACGCGAATACGTAGATAAAATCTCGCAAACCGATTTTCCAGCAGACCTAGTTAATAAACCTAAATTAAATTAATAAAGGCAATTGGTGCCAATCGATTACAATAAATCGACGATCGTTAAGAGATCGAGAAATCCCGATTCTAAGACCGCTAATATCAGAGAACGATGGATCGTTTCCGCAAGAACGTGAAGAAAAAGCGATAAACCATGTTCATAAAGAGCGCGTTGTCCGAACGACCGTCGGGATCATGAAAATTACGAATGTCCGCCTCGATAAAAATTTATACGGCTAGGACCCTACGCTGAGTCTCCCAGGTGCATAAAGTTTAAAGGGCGTTGAAGTTATCGCGTCGAAAATTTATACCGAACGATAAAGGACGCCCGGTTGCACTTTTATATTCCATCTGATAAAACGAATACGTTTCCATTGAAAATGCAAAGTTTCGTCGGAACTGCGTGCTAAGTGTTCCCTCTCGACACCTATCGGAGACGTCTATCATAGACGCCTATCAGAGTCACCTATCAGAGTCAGCGATCGTTGCAGCTGTAGGCCAGACTCGGCGACTTCGAAAGAGGATCAAAGTGTCGCCGGATTACGCGTCAGGTTCGTCGCGATCCGTCCTAGATCCGTCACTGGCCGAAGACATCGATAGCCGAAGCTATTATCGGGACACGGATGGAACACGGGAATCGGAGAAGCGTTGTTCGCGGCGAAATGAAATTCCTGGCTCGCGTTAATTGCAGAGGGGACGATTAATAATACCACCTAGCCAGTCTCTGTCCGTTCGAACTGCCAAGCTGGCGCGATCGATCCTCGAGAAATTATAGAGAGACAGGAGGAAGATGGACTCGCAAACTTTCCAATCGAGACGTCTCGTACGTCAGACTCGAACTCGATCGCGTGTTCCCGGGGATGATTGCGACGAAAGAGTAGATGGATCGTCCTTCGAAGCCGATGGCCACCGATCGGAACCCCGTAATCGATATCAAGGGATGATAAACAACGAGAGGCAAGGGGGTAAAAGAGACTCCGCTGGTCTTTTATAGTCGATCCAGAGAGGGTTCGAAAGGGAAAGTTTGGGGGCCCGTGGTTTATTCGAGTTGGCGGTCGTGTCATCGTAATAGATTTCGAACGATTCCGTGAATTACGGAGGTAGACGCAGAGGAGGTGGAGAGAAGGAATGAAAATGGGGAAAATGGGGAAAAAATAATAGACGAGAAAGCCGACGTCTGGGTTCGCCAGCTGTTATTCGACATCCCGAAACGGAAGGTCGGAAATGCCGGGAAAGTTAGGAAACCTTTTCACCCGTGATTAAACCGTAAGCTAACTAAAAGTTCTCCATCCACCACGTATTTGCATACCTTCGAACTTAAACGGCTTCAAGTAGGGA